TTAGAAAAACAGAGATAAGGAGCCCAGGGAAATTACAAGGAGTCCAGGAAAAAAGCAATTAAAATCATTGGACATCTGAAATACAAGACTTGTGAGAAGAGGTGGAAGCAGTTTTCTGGAGAAGATTGAGGAAAGACATAGTAACAGTCTGCAAATACTTGAGAGCCTGCTGTAAGGAAGATGTTCATGTTCCCCTTAGGAAAGAGCAAGAATTAATAAGATGAAAGCACAGCAAGACTTAGGCATTAGGGAAAAATGCTATGAGGGAACATCCTGAAAGAGAAATTTGATAGGGAGGTTGGAGAAGAAGTCTATCATAAAAAATCTTTGAGAATAGGCTAAATAAGAATGCCAGAAGCATGTTTATAATCTTCTCCTGATAAGAAGAAAAATGGAGTATCTCTTGTGGCCCAGGCATATTTCTTTATGTTTGCTGGTGATGAATTGTGTTGTGTGGTTGTTCCCTGTTTCATTATTTAAATATATAAAAGGAGTGCCATTGATTATGGCTTTTACTGTGTCTACAAATGTCTATGATTACTGTGATTAAATATTTTCACTTGGCTTTAGAGAAATAAGCACTCATGTTCATTTATTTTGTGTTCTTCAACAAGCTTTTGGCTTTTGCTGCAAAGGATGTCAGCAGTCAAGCACTCCCTAAAAGCTTTTCCTATTTTATTGGATGCATCTAAATTCCACATGGTCATGCTGAATATTATCAGTTACTCTTGACTCAGACAAAATTATTTTAAAGCAGTCAGGGAATATATGGGGGGCTTTGCTGCTGAGCAGCTGATTTTTAAATTGAAAAGAGTTCTGTGTGGCTTCTCACACACTGTCCATGTGAAAACTTGGACTACAGCAGATTTATCTCATTGCATTAATGACTGTGATTTGGACTTTTCCATAAGTGCACTATTGGGAAGATTAGATTGGATCAGAGCAAAGGTCATTTGTTGTTGGTTATCTCATATGTTTTTCCTGCTTAATATAAAAAGAAGTCAGTGTGTCATTCTTAAATGTTTGGTACTGTGAGATTCAGAGTAGGAGAAACTAAAACCATCATTGACCTTACAAGCTTTGTTTATCGCTTTACATCTAGTGCTTCCTATCAATTCCTGCTGCTCTTACTGGTTTTCTTGGAATGCAGCATAATTCTAGCCCACAGTGAAGTCCCAGCAGATGTTCCCATCACCCCAGACCAAGTTTATTTTTGTGTGGTGATCTCTTCATTTCCTTGAGGTTTCCTTTCTTTTTTCCCCTCTCATGATTTATCATCCAAACATTCATAATCTCCAGAGGAATTGCAAAATGCATTCCCATGAAAATCTTAAATCTTTAAAAGCAAAAAAGAATAACCCCTCCACCATGAGTTAGCCATGTTTCTCACTAAATTACTTGAGTAAACTCTTCTGTCTCAGCCATAGTAAAGTCTTTAAAGTCCAGGACTGCAGACTCTGTCATAAACAGGAGTATTGCCTTTTTGACTGATTTCTACTATAAAACCAAAGGGTTCATTAATCTCATCTAGGGCTTTAGGTGGGATGGAGAAGAAAAAAGGAAAGAAAAGGGTAGGTAAGATGTGATAAGGTAGCTTTAATCATTTCTGGAGGGTTATTGGCTGTACATCTTTGCTCGATCTCAAGCCATACTAGTTCTCTCAGTGAGGCTTTTCTTTTCTAAAAATAATGGTACCAGATATTACAATTACACATAGAGGTCTTTCAACAATGCTTCAATTCCATATGTCTTTAGCACAACATAAATAAGAAAAAAGAGGCTTTTGGTCTACACAGATATGGTGAAAGGCTTTTACTTGGAAGTACTTTATCACAGCAGGTTTTTTTAACTGATGCCAGGCACTTCTTCAGTTTGGTGGAGGCAGCAAGTTGCATCAATACAGATTTTAGGTCAGAGGGCTCTTGTCCCATTGGCTGTTACACAGTCAGTGGCCATCAAACATCTCATGCATGTACAGTATTATAGGCATTAGCTGTGATCTTGAGGGGTGCTTTGGGTAAGAAGTATTTAATGGTTGTAATTTTTAGGTAAGTTCATGTGAGCAAGCTCTGTGATAGATAGAGGTCCAGGTGAATGCTGTTGTCACCAGGTCTTTGGATGCACTGCTCATCCCCTGAATAAAAGCTCATCCTCTGAATAAAATGTGTTCTTGGCAATGTACCCCAGAAGAGGCTGCCTGATAAAGGTGTCCTGATTTAAATCAGAAATTCAGAACTGCACCAGCCTGAGGTTCATTTGCACGGGGTTTGGTACATGCAACAACAGGGCACTCGTTGATTTTCTCCTTTTAGAGGCTAAAACAGCTTCTATTTGCTGATGTAAATTTTCCCATCATGATGGACAGTGATTGGACTTGGTTGTTTGTGATTTTGCCGGAAAATTTTCCCTTCTGGTTTATTATTTTCCAAAGGAGTTTGTGGAAGCAGCAAGGAACATTTTACATCTGTGCACAGACATTCATCCTGTCAATTGGTTTTCCATAATCTTTTATGTTCTGTTCAGGGAGTAAGTGTCTCTTCCCACTGAAACTTTATTTCATAATGTTATTGTGGGACATGGCCGTGCTGTTCCTTCTAGTGGGTCTTGTTTCCCATGCTCTAAAAAATTTTCCCATATTCTCAATTTTTTGATTTTTTTTTTTAATTTACATTGCAAAATGTTCCCTTTGTGAACTGCCAGTTTATTTACTGGAGCTTCATCATCCAGGTTTTGCAGGGTTTACCTTGTGGGAGAGGCTCTGATAGCAAAAGACCTTAAACAGAACTGGAGAAATCTAATTCCTACATCATATTTTGCATGTTGACAAGGGAGGACTGGCCTAATGCCCTAGAACATATTCACAAAAGATACTGAGAAATTTAAGAACCTTGTAAAACTGCTTTCAGTCATCCCACAGGTAAAATTAATCTATAAATAATGTAAATATTAAAATATCAGTTGTGTGTTCACACAGATCCTTTAGCAACAACAATAAGAGAAATGATTAATGTTGCAGTCATTACATTATGGGGACGTTGGCCCACAGCCCAACCCAGCAATGTTAAACACTGTATTTCTTCCAGTAAAGTAATTCCTGATTGCAGTATCTATTTTCAGCTCAAGTAGCTCAGTGTGGGAGACTTGGACTAGCTCAGAAAGGCCTGTGTTTTCCTGGTGTGATTGATGCAGCTGGACATCAGAAATCAAATATGAATTTTGAACAAAATGCATCGTATTTATAGCGGTAATTTTTTTACTTGGAATATTTTAGCCTAAGAACAAATTTGGAGATTTGGGGTTTAGACCTTCTCAAGATGCTAAAATGCTTTCAAATCAGGATTTAGATTGGCCTTCTGTCCACATATACATCAAGATGTTAGCATTGATAATATTCTCTATCTCTCTTTCCCATGGGCTTCAGCAAATTGAATTTCATTATTCTAATTGTATCAATTTTTTTTACACTTAATGTTTATTTTAAATACACTGATAAAGAATAAGATAAAAGACAAATGAATGAATGAATGAGTGAAAGAAGGTTCTGGGCAAACATGAACTTTTAGAAATCAGTAACAGACACAGGTTTGTAGCTCTTTGAGATCTATGGCACAAAACTACAGAGTAACTGTGCAATAGTCACACTTTAATGTAACCCTTTAATATAACCCAAATGTGAACTCCCAATTTGCATCATACAGAAAAATGTCAAGGGTAAGAATTTTTATTGTGGACCTTTATCATGCCTAGTAGTACTTTGCTGAATTAAATAATGTACTTTTTTAAAACCACCCTAGTGGCCTGCACTGCTTGGAGGTGAAAGACAACCATGGGAGATGTGGATTCAGTGTTGGCTGTCATGGAAGCCTTTCCAAACACAGAAGTGGGAAGGCCACCTGAGCATTTGTTGTGACTCAAATTTCCAGCTGTAACCTATAATCTCACAACAACTTGTTTTTCTTCCTGCAGTAAAGTAAGGCAGGCACTTTTATGGGAAGAGGAGGGAAAGCTCATCTGTCTCATTTATGAATGCATCAGGAAGCAATGGTTTGACTCAGCCCGTGTTTGAGGTTTTAGCAAGAAATAGACATCCTGAAATTGATTTCTGCCTTTAACTTATGAAGAACACTGAGTTTATTTAAAATTTTGAATTAAGGGGTAACACACTGTATATTGCCTTGGAATAGAGAACTCTGATGTGTTTACATGGTTCTGTGTACAGTGTTGATGAGTAAATCACTGCAGTAGGTTTTTCTGTGTGAGGATGGAGTTTATCAGGCCTTTCTGGAACTACTGAATGATAGGATTGTTAGGAGAAACCTGGCTAATCTCTTTTCTTCTGCAATAGCATGCCATAGCCACAAACTGTGCTGGTGATAAGAAAAAAAGGCAAGCCATGTTGTCAGACTCTGCACCTTATTTACCCAAGGGTGAACACAAAGTTACTGTAAGGAAAACAAGACAATTTGTTTATATTCCCTTTGAACTTGAGTCAGAAATATCTCTTCAGAATGGTGCATATTTAATGATAGCATCATACCTTGGGGTTTTTTCTTGTTGTTGGATTGTGGAGGTGTAGGGTTTTTTCTTAAATTCCCTTCTTGCCTAGTAGGGAGTCGATATTTCTAACCCACTCTCTTTGACAACAACAGCTTTTAAATATTTCAATACGAAGAGAGAACTCGTTTCCAGATTCACTTTCAGGATGGAGTCAAGAAATTAAAGCAATGAGGGTTTAAAAAGAAAAGCAAGAAAGAGCCAGAAGGAAACACTTGTTCATTTGTTGGATTTCTCACTTGGAAACTCTTGCTGTCAAACCTGTCTCTGTCCCACTTGGTCAGACAGAGCAATAGAGATTTCCACCCTGAGAAAAGGGAGAGATGAAATAATGAGAAATGTAATACTGAAAAACACAAATGTGAAGAATGAGTTACAAATATTAACTGTCTTGCATGATTAGAAATTTTGGGTGAAATTTCTTAGGTAATTTTTCTCTTTTCCAGGGACCGAGCTCCCTTCATCTTCACATCAGAGATGGAGTATTTCATAACAGAGGGGGGAAAAAACCCACAGCGTTTTCAGGAGTTTGTGGAGCTTTGTTGTCGAGCTTATAATATAGTCAGAAAACACAGCCAGCTACTCCTGAACCTGCTAGAGATGGTAAGGAGCTCGAGGATGAAACCAAAAATCAATTTCCTCCAGGGTTCTCTTCCCTTTCACCACCTCTCTGCTCCCTTCAGTAGATTTGATTTGAAGAGGTATCAGGTGCCCAGGTGCTGCACTTTCCTGTGCAAAGAAGCTGCTCACTTTCAGAAATAATTTCTGGGAAAAGGAAAGCTAAGCTGCTTGGTGCTTTTTCCATTTTATAATGCATTGTTTTTTACAAAATAGCAGAAAACTGCAAAAGAAGCTGGGTAAAAGTTTTGCATTCAGGAATGTCACTCAGCCCTTTTCCTAGGTCTTCATTTACCATCCCTGTTCATGTTTGCAAGAGCAAGTAAGCTGAATAGTTACACAGGGTGAGTGATGTGACAGTACTTAGCAGCACCTGCACTGCAGTGATGCCTTTAGAATGGGGGGGGTTGCACATTTCCACAGTCCCTTCCCAGGATGGCAAACACAGGAAAGAAAGAGCAGTGCCCATATTGACACAGGTTTTAAAATTCTAAATTTTGTATGTGAGGGTTGCACATTTCCACAGTCCCTTCCCAGGATGGCAAACACAGGAAAGAAAGAGCAGTGCCCATATTGACACAGGTTTTAAAATTCTTTTGTATAGATTTGTTAAGGAGTTTTTATCAGTAAATATTACTGATTGATTTGTGCTGTGGGAAGTTCCATATCTGATTTATGCCTTTATTTACCTGTGTGGGAAAGGTTAATGATTTTCCCCTTTATGGGTACAAAGAGAATATTACATCATAGTACATATATATAATGTAATCCATATTACATATGTATTACATTACATATTAATATTTGATGAGATGCTTGGCTAAGATATCAATCCAAAATTTCTGGGAGTGGTTTATGCATGAAAAAGCCTACATGGCCCTATAAACAGAGCTGCTGAGATTGGGGTACAGCCAAAAAGTTGCTCTGTAAACACCATTTTATCATCTCCAACTTGTGCAGTGGGGGTGGAAGACAGAAACTGAAGGAATCTCTTCCCTTGCCTCTTCATCTTGTCCATGGAGTCTCATGCAGTGATTTAGTGAGAAATCCCCTACTATGGAGCAGGAAGGATTGCTCCAGATCTCTTGAACTTGCTGCTTAGTAGCCAAAGGTGCAACAAAACTGCATTCCCATAATAAAGCACGATTTTCCTCTGGAAGCAGTGCAGGGTGATGTTGTAGGAGATCCTGTCCAAGTTAAAGAGGTCTTGGAAAGCTCAAGATCAGCCTGTTCTCTCATCCACAGCAGTCATCCCTGCATTTCTGAACAGGCTGCCTAAAACTGTGTGGTGCAAATAAAGGCCCATTTCCTTGTCCTTCTTTCTGCAAGAAGCAGAGATTGTGATGTCAGATTGTCCTGGGATGATAGAGAGCCTGTTAGGAAAATGCTCCTAGCAGCAGCTCTGAAACAACTATCCCTGCCTGCCCAAAGCTCAGGTTTGTCTGTATTCAGGACTTGCTGCATCTTTGTTTCTGCTGATCTTGTAGCAGAGGTAATACAGCTGAGCTAAAAGTCAGCATCCAGATGTGTCTTAATATTTGTCAGTGGGCTGCAGCTCAGCCAGTTGTGTTGCACTTCATAATTGAAATATAACTGGAAGCACACACACACCCCATCCATGAGCTATTCATGGCAAAAGGAGTTAAACAAGACCAGTTTGGGAGCACCAAGATTTTGCCAGTAATATTTGGAAAGGTTGAGTCTGTTTCTGCACTTGAAATGTGCAGAAACTGTAAAGATCAAAATGTTTCAGTTCCATGGGTCATTTCTGGAAAAAATAACAGACTGTGAAGTTCCACTTTGAATTCATTTCCATACAGAATTTCAGATTTCATCATGGAGAGATAAGATACAAATAAGCAGTGATTAGTTTATCAGTCAAAGTCTAAGATTTCTCTCCCAGTTTGGAAACCTGCATCATTAATCTTTAATTCTACTCCCACATTCTGTTTTCCCAGATGCTATTTGTAAAACATGGTTCAAAAAAAATTTAAAACAAGACTAAAAAACAGAGTACTTCACAGACTATTACACTGAATGCACAGAATATTCACAGGATAGTAAACTGTACCCTGGGTGATCAGTGACAATTAGTGGTTTCTAGCAAACATGATTGTGAACAAATTGAGGGATTTTTGGCCCAGTTTGGGAATTAATGTTATTTCTTGGTGGTGAGCAGCATGTTTCTAAAGCTTTACTGACATTTGCTACTGGGAGTAAGAAATAATCCATGACGTTTCCATCACTTTGAAAAGCAGAAACATCTGTGGGAGACCCAAGAGTCTTCTGGCAGAGTTCAGCTGTGTAAATGCCTGTAGTTCATCAGCTTTGCTTTCTTTAAAGATTTGGTGTGAACTATTACAAAGAGGGTGATGACAGGACACAAACACCTTCTGACTACTTTAAAGAAATGCAAATTCCATTAATAATGATTTATTTTTTAAATAGAGAAAGTTATTAAAAGGGATTTTATCACTTCCTTTTCTGATGAAGGGCAAGGAGCTTAATTTGCCTATGCAACAACCATTTTTTTTTAAATCCAAAGGGGGCAGAAGTTATCATCTTTTATAAGTGGGTTGAAGGTATAATGATAAATGGCATCATGTGTCCTTCAGTGCTGAATATTGTTGTTGTCCCTGCTGTCAACTCACTTTAATTCACCTCATTGAGCTTTCTGTCTCTCTGTTCCTTGCCAGTCTAGATAGCAATCTGCCTGTCCAGTGGTAGCCTGGAATGGGCTGAGGAAGATTTTCCTCATAATGCCAAAAAAAATGTATAAATGTTGAGAATGTTTGAATGAATAACCTTAAAATAAAATCAGTGCTTCCTTTTTACTTTGCTGTTACTTGAAAAACTCAGTGGGTCTTTCTGTCTGAGCTAGACATAAATATCAATGGAAAATACACAGTAGTGGCTGCAAATTCAGTTACATTTCCATCTGGGCAATCTGAAGGAGGGATGTTTTTCTGCATTACACACAAAAAAGACATCACTCCCAACTTGCTGTGATTGCAGAGAAAAATCGGTAGGTTTTGAAGTGAGCAAATTTTATTGTTGTTGTTGACATTTGAAAATACCTGGAGAGAGCTGTATGGGCAATTGGCCACACTGAGCTGTCTAATCTCCTCAAGATTTTACTTTGGGAGGGGAATATTGGCATTATTTGGTTTTGGAATCTAATCTGGCTAACTACAACAGCTCTGTCCCTCATACATGGAGAATGCCACCTGCTCCAGAGGGCATCTCTCACTGCCCACCCAGGGCTCTGCCATGGATCAGTGTCTGAAGAAGTTCTTCTCCTCCTCTGACTGTAAAGGGAGTGAATTTGTGATCCCTTGGCAGGAGGAGTCCAGAGCAGTGCTGGTGGAAGCAGGAGTTACAAATGAGAGGGTGATGTTGTGCTAAATTGAATTAGGGCTAAGACAACCACAGAAATGTGGTTACTATTGTTCAGGTGGCTGAATTTGGTCACCTTCCCTTTATCTCCATTAGAAGGATCTGAAGGAGGCTTAGCAATGCACACCTTGAGGTTATGGTATCAGAAGAGAAAATAAATAACTACAATGGATCATTGATCCTGACCCATGTCTCGTTCAGTGTGAAGGTTTACAATGCAGTATATTCACTTTATTATTCCAGGCATTGCCCTAGCATCAGAACCACTTTTCAGATCAGCAAAACTGTTTTACAAGACTGTTTTGGTGTAAAACCTTTCTTCTCTCACTTAGGCCTGTTTCATTTAAATTTCTTTTCAATAGAACAGTGGACTAATAATCTAATATTACTTTACATTTAGATGCTGCATGCAGGATTGCCTGAGCTGAACAGCATCCAGGATCTTAAATATGTGTATGATAACCTCCGTCCTCAGGACTCAGATCTCCAAGCTACAAGCTACTTTACAAGGTAAAACCAGAATATTATCCAGAAATCTTGTCTTCTTCAGGCATGGATCAATTTTTCTCTTATGTTAAGAAGCTTCATCAGGGAAATTACACAAAAGGATAATTTGTCTTCACATGTTTAATTTAAAAAAGTCATTCCTTATGCATGTTGTAACCAATTTCCTCAAATTTCTGGAAGAAACAGTTGTGCATTTCTGGTGCACTTGTAACAAGTCACTTACTCAGTGCCTGAAGATATCTCAGGCTTTCATGGTGAAACCATCCTGATTTGTATCTAGTATTTCTCTCTGTTTTTAAATGCAGCAGCTTCATGCAAACAGCTTTAGACTGCTTAAAGAGGTTCTACCTGTTCATATTCTGAGTGGGGACCCTTCAATTTCTGCATTTTACTCCTTTTTGGCTTCCTCTTTTGACCTTTTGTGTTGCCTCAGAGAAGCTGCTTTCCCTTTGCTAGCCATAGTTTCTCCAGCTGCCAAACAGTGCCGGTTCTTGTTTTTAAACAAGAAAAAGCCTTTTTTAAACAGAAAAGCCTTGTGTGTGAATATAGATATATTTAAAGTTTCACTTGTGTTGGGATAATGAAACCTTTGACCTGTTCATGATAACAGCTGGGGATTCATGAGGAGGAGCTGCAGCTGATGTGCATAAAGTCAGTCTAAGAGCCTCAGTCCTGATCTTTCAGGTCAGGTCTCAACATCACACATAATTCCAGCTGATGCTGTAGATGATGAGTGCAGACTTCTCTGGAGCTGGAAACCCACTGCAGTTCTAGGCACAGCTTGAGACAAAATCTCCCTGTCAGAGTCTGCCCTGAGCAGCACCATCGTTTCCCAAGGATTATGAATTCCTGCTCCCTGGGCACCCTCTACACATGGAAAGCAACCCAGACTCCTCTGACCTGTTGAAAGTTTTGGGAAATTAAAAGTGTTGTTTATATGTCTCCTTTCCACGCACTAGAATCTGCTACAATCTAAGGAAAACCAAGGCAGAGAGTTTGGAGAAGGCTGAGGCAGAGACCTAGAGACTCTAAGGGTGACATTTCTTTGGGGAAAAAAAAAAAAAAAAAAGAGAAGAACTTGTCAAAAAAAACTATTGTTCCATGACTTTACACACAGCACAGCACTGAATTCCTTTCCCTGTAGCACTTGCTTTTTTCATATGCTTTCACTCCTGCCCCTTAGCAAGATTGTTATATTTTAAAATTTAATTACAGCTTCACATTTACCATCAACTCCTACCTTATCCTTTCCTTTAAAAATTCATATATTCCCAAATTACAGACTTTTATTTCCACTTCAAATAGGAAACATGCAGTTTCTAATTAAACTGTAGAAGTCTTGATTCTGTCAACTAGTTCAGGTGGTTGTGTCTGTCTCTCATGAGCGAAATACCCATTTTGTTTAACTAGTGAAAAGGGGCTGGGATATACAAAACAGAGCCTTCAGAGTGAAAATTGCATCAGTGGCATGCAAAGCTCAGAGCTGCTGCCCCTCTGGAGGTGGAAAGGATCAGCTTCCAGCTGGGTCAGTCATGGTTAGGGTTGGCAGCCCTTGTTTAGCTGGAAGAGTAAGGATGAAGATTTGCTTCAGGGCAGGGATGGATCTCCACAACCTTTCTTTTGAGGGTTAGGGACTTCAGGGTGGGAATTCGCCTGCAGTCTTCCTCAGCCAAAGCATGTGGAATAAGGCCATAAGGTGACATGAGAAAAGAACATTTTCAGAAAAATTTCAGAAAGGAACAAGTCTGGAATGGACCTATACTGATAGTGTGAAACTGAGCCTTGAAGCGAAGCCCATTCAATATTAACATTTTAAAACAGAGTATGGATTTTGGAAGAGTTGGTGTGCTTTGTTGGCTGGTAGAGGTTTGTGTTAGGGTTAGGAAAACCTATTCAGCTCCCAGAGACTATAATTAGAGCTCAGAGGCCAGAATGTTCTTCTTCCCCTTAGAAGGAATTTCTTGTTAAAGGTGGTGTTAAGGAAATGAAGGAAATTCCACTCAATTCCTGCACACCAAGAAATTAGCTGTGCTGTGGGCTCTGTTCTTATTTGAAACTGCGTTTTCTCCTAAAATGCATTCTGCAAGCTCCAGAGCTGTTGATCCAGTTTCCTTCAAAATGTTGAAGCTTTGTTATTGTCCATCATTGCATCATGTAGAAAAGACAAATATTGCTCAAGTGCATATTTTATTCATTAATATTCCTTGAATATGTTTCTATCATATATGCTCATTTGCAAGAAGAAAATCTCTTTACATTAGTTCATGAATTTCCACAGATCTCATTTCTCTTCCTTTTCTTCTTTATTCCAGATTCTATTCACTTGAACATTATTTCTGTAATTCAAAAAAATATATTAACTTTTCAATATGTTTGAACATGGAGATAATATCAGGCCTCATGCCTAGTAGGATTTTAACTTCTGGAAATTGTATCCAGGCATTTTTCAAAATAAAGACTTTGGGATGGCCTGATACCCAAATCCATGCAGAGACTGCCCCTCTGTAAAAACACTTTCCAACCTGACTGGATATCGATAGGATAAAATATCGATAAGATAAAATATTGATAGGATATTGATAAAATATTGATAGGATAAAAAAATCCAGTTACCTACTTTTCATGGTCAACCTCTGGCTTATTCCTGCATCTATTTTTCAAACTGCCCTTAGAAAGACAAGAAAATTGGAAGTTCTGATTACTAACAAAATTTCTAGTAATTCTCAAATCCCTCAGAATTTCTAGTTCCTTTTTTCTATAATTGCTTCCAAAAACACTTCATTGTTTTTTACAAGCTCTTTTCTAGACAAGGGGAGTTGGAATGTTAAATGTTGCCAACAGAAAGGTGTTTCTTGTTCTAAGTACAAGGTAGTTATAGTAATCTTTCAGATTCAACCCTATAATGTGTCTACAGAAAATCCCAATCTTCTGCTAGTGGAAACAGGAGAAGAGTATTCCTCTGTATTTCTGTAGAAATAGGCTGTTATTAGCAATTTTCTGAGTTTGTTTTAGCAATAACACTGCCACTGGCCCTAGTGTTGTTTAGAAACAGGATGAAATGATGAATGATGTCACAAATGCTCCTGGCAGAGCGATGTTGATTTGTTCTTTGCCGTCACCTCTTTGGCTGGCAGAACAATTGTGTCGGAGTTTAGACTGTAATGCACTCACCCTCTTTCAGGCTCCTAAAGTGTTCTGTGTTTTACTGAATTCTTTTGGTCTCATTCTTGATTTAAGTCGTGTGCAACAGTCTGTGGTGTCATTTGTGTGCAGCTCTTCCCACATGGGGTCAGTCCCCAGCTATGAGCTGATGAGCAGCAGCGTTCAGCCTCGCAGGTCGCAGCCCTCTGGAAGGTCACACCCTCACATGGTGGATAAACAAAGCACCAATTGAGAGTTAAACAAGAGTTTCTGTGTTTCCTTGTCAGTCCTGCGCACCTACTGCCAAATGAAACATCGTTGTCTCTCCAGCATCTGCCCTGAACTCAGTTTGATCCTTGAAACTCAATTTGATCCTTACCCCTCCCTCCTTTCCTCTTCCCCTGACAGCACAGTTTTATCAGAAAATGGAAACCCATCTTACCTCTGGATATAAATTTCCTCTATGGTTTTCTGCAGATGTCTTCAAATGTCAGCATGGTGTGGCTGGCTGCCTGACATTTTTAATGTGCCTGCACAGGGATGTGTATTTAAAATTGGTTTTAAGAGTATAAAGTTAGCCTAATGCAATGAATGGAGTTGATTTCAATTGATTGCAGTGTGCAATCTAACCCACTCAATAGAAACCCATAAATAAGAGATGCAGGGTGGATCTGACAATTACCAGGGGAGCACATTGCATATCTTCAGCAGCCTGATGGAGGGGGGTGCTGCTTGGGTCAGCTGCTTTGTTTATTTATTAATGGACTCATTTTTTAGGTACCTGTCGCTAGGTCAAGCACATCCACTCCAAACCACAAATGCCAGCAGCTTCCAGCTGGACAGTCCACAGTAACTCCTTTCAAAACATGATGCTGATCTCAAATTGATCAGTCAACTCTGTTTCTCAGGTGGCTGAGGGTATTTCAGCAAGAAATTTCCCACACAGGTGAAAGACAGTGGAAGTTGGTGCCATCTGAAAGGGAATGGACCAAACACTAAACTTTATTTCAGTGATGCTCAAGTAGTTTGTAAAGATTGTGGTGTATGTGCCCCAAAGGAGGAGAAGGCATATTTCCCACTTGAATTTATGTTTTTGAGGAATTCATATTATAAAAGGTTTGTTGCTGAAAGCAGTAATATTCTGGGAAACTCTATTAATATGTGGGCATATAACTCAACTTATTTTAAAATGGAGCTTGGTAAATTCATGGATGGAAATGTGGAATATAAATGAAACACTGTTAACATCTGAACATCCCATGGAAATAAATTTTGCTCATAATACTCTAAATGATTTGGAGGCCTAGATGGAAATGGGAAGCAGGATATCATCAAGAAAGATAAAGAAATATCCACAAAGGCTAAAATCTTAATAACTAGTCAGTAATAATGGTTGTATGTGCTGTGTATAAAGGCTGTTAAGCACCAGCCCTCAGAATATCCATAAGTCCCATAAGGAATGTCTGCTTCCTAAAACTAAAGTGGCAAACTACCACTACTCACTTGTGAAAACATCAGCCAAACTTTTCATCCATCTCCTTTTACACAAGCAGCCAGCCAGTCTGTTCATGTTTTACCTGATACTGTAATTTGACAGCTCTGTAGAAAGAAAGAAGCCAAATCTGAAATTCCAAGTCAATTAAGCAGGTGGAAAGCTGAAAGTCATTACTTTTCAATAAACCCAGATATTTAACTTTCTTTTCTGAGAAGTAGGTCAGACACCAATCTGCATGGTAAACAGTTATTGTCATGTGGAAAATAGCATTTTTCTCCCCGAAAACAGTGTTGGCAATATCTGGATTCACTGCTAATATTACTATACTTAATGACAGTTTCCAGTTTTCTTCTGATTAACCTGGGCTTTTAATACCCTTTGTGCTGTTCACTTAATTTAGCTATCTCTAGACCATCAGGCACTAATTTTCCATGCAGCCTGGGTTACCACAGCTCTCAAATAAATGCAAAACTTTTTGTCATCTTTGTGAAGACACAACCATCTTTGAGCACAGGCAAAGGTGACAACTGCCAGAGAGAAAGAGGAGGATTTTTACAAACAATACCCATGACCTTACTGCTTTCAACTATTGCTAAACTTAATGTGGCTAGAGAAAAGAAGGTGTATGGGGATCTGGGAGAGTTCAGGGAGAAACTTCCACCGCTGGAAGTTTCCTGGTCCTCAGGATGAACTTTAAAAATGCCAGCAGAAAGGGGAATTGGGTACCCACAGTGTGATAAACTGGGTCACTGAACTGATCCAGGCCAAAAATAAACTGCAAATTCTCAAAAAGATAAAGATACATGGGCTTGATGCACCCCATTGCTCCATTTTTAGTTAGGAACCAGCTTTTGGGAAAAAGGATTTCCTCAAGCCAATTTGCCCTTGAAAGAAAGTGCAGAGAGCCACAAGCAGAGTTGTTCCACCTTGCTGGGGAGAGAAAGAATAGCAAAGAGGCCTTGAATTCTTAATTGATTACATGTAATAAGGTTTGCTTAATGTTTTCTATCCTAGCAAAGAGGACTACATGCAGTCAAAACAGAGAGGGAGAGAAAACAACTCATACTTATGCCCTTATTTGATTTTAGATGTAATCATTTCAAATAACTCACAGGAAAAATGTGCAGCAATGACAACACAAGGCTCTGTTTTAGATCTAAAGTATGTGATTAGCAATCTGGGTTTTAAATGTGTTTTAGAAGCCTAATGGCCCCATGGAAGGAATAGTGCTAGTCTGATATCAGGCAGTTCTGTGTAGTGATGATGTCTGAATTAGTAGTAATTTACAAGCTGAGGCCTGTTTTATGTAAATTAAAATGCAGCGTGTTTCGTTGCAAAGTTATCACTTCTCTCTTTTATAATAATGTGGCAAATTCCCTAACTGCTCTGCCATAATATGGCCAGTTACAGATTCTGTAACCTAATGTCTCAGTGATTTAGGAAGTGTTTAAACTACACATTAAATTAAACACATAGGAGTTAAAAAGGAAGAGTTCACCCTGATGCAGCCTGGTTAAGCATCACTGAATTGATTTTGTACTAATATTTTGAAAGGAGATTTGTTTTCTTGTTTTACATTAGAGTGTTAATTTGCTTAATTTATTAAATAGTTTGTATCTGTTTCTGAAGAACGTAATTAATAATTAAGATAATTAACCAAATCAATTCTGAGGTACCTTTCCTTGTATTACATTAGGAGTAACATATACCTCTTTCCACCATTTACTATGCTTAATTAGCATATGATAAATTCACACACTATTTTGAATAAAATCTGAATTTCAGAGGGGTGAGCTGGGGAGATGCCTGTAGGTAGAATATTCCTTATTCTTTCTGGTTTGGTTTCATCTGTGAAGCTACAGACTTTAGCCAGAGCATATGGGATCATGGAAATTAGGCTAATGCAATGAATGGACCTGATTTCAAATGATTGCACTACGCATTCCAACCCACTCACAGAAAACCCATGAATAAAAATCTAATCTGAAATGACAGGTGAAGCATTTGCTGAGCTTTGAACAAGGCATGATGAAGGTGGTTAAGGGTGTTGACAGCCCTTGTAACCTAGTTAGATAAAATCCAAAACTGGGAGATTGAAATAGAAAAAAAAAAGAAAAAGGAAACACAGCAACCCCCTGACAATTTAGTAAAGGGTTTGTTGCCACACAATTTGAAATGAATGGATTGTTGTTCTATACAGTCAGAACATATATAGGATATCTTCACCGAGGTACAGAAATAAGTAGGGAAACAAAAACAAATTACCATCAGAAGTTAATAGGTCTTAAAATTCAATTAGCAATTGAATTTAAGAGAGCAAGTGTTTTCTAAAGAGTACTGCATCTCACTCTTCAAAGTCCTGTGATTATCTTGTAGTGTTATTTCTCAAGTTGAGTTCACTCTCACATTTGCAGTACATATCTTCATGTTTATCTGGGCTTTTTTTTTTTTAATCTATTGTGTCTTTTCTGATGAAAGATCTCAAAACTCTAGGCAATCAAAACAGTGTTCTGGCTCCCTTTGCACAGGGAGGAGATGGAGTGAGATACCAGGAGAAAATTTCTTTTTTTTTTTTTAATTCATCTTAAGCAGTTCCACAGGGATCGAGCTTTTAAGAGCTAGGTAGAGGATTTTGCAACACATCATGCTCAGCTAAATCACAAATTGAATCCAAGAGCCTTGCTCAAACACGTGTAAGCCCACATGAGGTTAGTGTAACCAGAAATAAATATAATCATAACTAGTGCCTCCTGTCCTGCTCAGCAAAATGAACATGTGCTGTTCAACCCTGGGTCTCCTCAGAACACACATGGAAATGTTCTGCTTGTCCCTGATGTCTGAAAGAAGTCCAGCTCATGAAGAATAGCTGCTCCAAGCTGAGCCTTGAGGCAGGTTGTGGCAAGAGCACTCCTTTAAGCAGTGGAGCTCAGGGGCTCACGTGCTGCAGTGCAAAGAGCAGTGACTGGTGTGTGGTGGGGTATGTGAGGTAAGCTTTAGAATTTGGGATTTTTTTTGGACTTGGATCCATAAAAAGAGGGGTCAAGGAGTGGAAACAACCAAACAAAAAAAAAAAGCATAACTAGTGCCTCTTGTGTTTCTTTGTTATTCAGGAAAATAAAGGAAAGTTTGGAGTGCTTTCCTGTTAAACTCAATAACTTGATCCACACGCTTGTGCAGATGTCAGTGGGGAGCTCTGCCAAGCCTCCAGCTCCAGAGACTGTCCCCCAGGAATGGATGGTGCTGGACACAGAGAGGTCGATCGCCAGGGCCACCATTCTGGGATTCAGCAGAAAGCCTGACTCTGTATGTATTATGTTCTTTGCTTGCCCTCATTTGCCTGGATCCTTAATGACACTTTCAAGAAATCATGCACTCTCCCTCTTTTTAGAAGATGTGCTTGTGCTACATTAAAAGTATCATGGGATGAATAGTGGTGCCATAAGCAGTGAGCTACCAGAGAGCAAAAGCACCAGGCAGACAGATATTTGCAGGGAGCCATTAAGGAGAACAGTTCATTCCCTATAGTGAAAAATAAATCAGGAGCTAATTAAAGCATCCAGAAGGAAAGCATGGCACAAAATTAGGAAGCCTAATAGAAATTGGAGGCTGTTATATGATGCTTTAATGGTGCACTATTAGTTTTCACACACTGCAGTGATCTTTCAGTGTTTGAGTTGTATGCTACCCAGGCAAGTTTCTCTGCCCGTGCAGCAAAGACTATGAATTACAAACTGAATTCTCTGGCACTTGGCACTACATTAAAGGAAGGTTTTTCTTTGTTGAAATCACCCTATATATTTTCTTGTGCTTTTTTTTTTTTTTTTAATTTGTCTCTTTGATCATTTCTCTGCTCTGCCTCTCTTTTTCCCCCGACACAGGTATACCTCATCCAGGTGGTGCAAACCTGCAATGTGGTCACCTTCGTGGAAAAATCCTTCCATCAGTTTTCCAAACTTCACAGTCATCTCCAGAAGCAATTCCCATCTCATGCCCTCCCAGAGTAAGTCAATGTTATTCTGCTGTTAAGTGGTTCTCTCTTCTGTGCTCAGATAAATCTGTGAGAATATTCACAGCAGATGTATTTTTAGAAACACAAAGTCAGAGTGACATATTCTATCAAGCCTCCTATTCAGCCCCAGAAGAAACTGAATCACAGACCGTTGTGGCAGTCTAAGTTTTCTATTTTATTGTTCCTTTTTTAATGGGAGGAGAAAAGGGGAACAACTTGGGCCTGACAAAACTATTCCTGAAATTAAAGGGTAAGTGGTGTTGACTTAATTAAGGGCGCCTTTAATAGTTTTTTACTTTCTTCATGATGTTTATCAAAACTCATAGCAAGATCTATATGTTAAAGCAATGTATGAATGTTCACAGTGGGTCAGAACAGAAATCTAGCACCATGATGAACATTTTTACAACGTGGTGCACATTCCCCCAGCTGAGAAATACACAATAATCTTATGTACTATCCTGCCCCCAAGCCCAATACTTTGTGCCTCACATAATTTCATTTAACATCCTTTGAAAAATCTGTCATTAGTTGCAATAATTCTGAATATAACTTTCTATCCATGTGCATGTCCATTCCTGCTTTTCATTTTCTGAATGTTATTTCTTTACAGTTTCCTGGGGTAGTGAGTCCCATGGTTTATTTCTGTCTTATATAAGCCAGCTTTGCCTTATGTAATGATTGCCCATGGCTTCAGAAATACAAGTGATTTTTTCCACATATATAATATACCTTGTACTGCATACACCAGTGAGTACAAAGTAGTCCTCTCGCAAACAGGACTGAGTTTTTCTGACTCACCTGGTTGAGCTTGAAGCCCTTCTTCAAGCTCAATCTACAAAAAAAACCCCATAAATCTGGCCTAAAATACAAGCAGCTTAGTTGAACCAAGCTGAGATTCAAGTCTTTGGATTTGACATGAAGTAAATAGCCACAAACAACATGATTTGAACTTAAAATCCATGAATTTCAGATCCAAGGGTGATATTCCCCCAAGCTCATGAGAAGCATTCTGAAAAATGGCTTAAGGTTAGTTAATTCTAGAGAATCTGTCTCCTGCCTGAGGGGATTTTATTGACTCCAATTTGATTCATTATGGCTTTCTCACATGAGCTGGTTTGCAGCAGCTGGTGAGAATTGAAATTTCACTAAACAAATACTGAAATTGCTTGAATCATGGTTTTGATTTGGAGATACTTGCAGGATAACTATTGGGTTGTAAAATAAAATATTTAACAAGTACCTGTTTATGAATTTTTCCTGTGGTGAGCAGAGCCCTTTGAAAAGAAAATACATTTCTCTTTGGAAACACATAAACCTCAGAAACCCTGTAGTGAATTTTAAAAATAGTACTAGTCATTTTTCAGATAAATCTACCTCTGATAAAATCCTTTGCAGCATTTTCACGGCTGAAGAGCACTTCAGAACTCACAGAGGGTTAATCTGCATATACTGAGGCTGTCTTTAGGAGCTCCAGTGCTTCATTGCCATAATTCAGTCTCAGCAGTATCCTGTCACTGCAGGATCTTTCCCTAAGATTGTGTTAAAATAATTCATTTTATGATGTTTCTTGATAGGCACATTTTTTAATGTTAAAATTTTGCATTGTGTTCTAACAGAACTTCATCAATTTGAGGTTTTTCATTCATCCCAGATTTTATTCTAATAATAAAAACCTAATTATTTCTTTATAGGAAGTTATTACTGAAACTGCCATGCCATATCAGACCATTAGTCTGCCTGTGTGCTACAAAGCTCCAGCTCTGGCTGATGCCAGATGCTTCAAAGGAAGGAAAAAGCCTTGTTCCACAATGTAATCACAAAATCAGTTTAAAAGTATCTGATTAAAAAATTTAAATATTTAATATTGCTAGAATAATTGGAACTGCTAACAGAAAGGACTTGGTTTCTGCTTTGTAATGATTCTATGGAATTGTACATATTCATGTCTCATTAGGAGAAAACAATGAAATATGAGAGTGCTTCATAAAAGTGCTAAATACCGAGTGTATTGTAAGAAACATATGGCACAAGCTCAGAGTTCCCAGAATCTGAAATTTTGCTATTGACATGTGTTCATTCAGCCTATATTTACAAGTTAGAAACACAGCTGCCCTAAGCAAGTCCTTGCACTCTAGCACCATCCTTCTCTTTTGATTTCTGAGAGGGGATTAATTGTGTTTAATTATTGTTTTATAAAGTGGCAAAAATTTTTTCACCCAACAAAAACACATAGGTGGCATAACTTAGACACAGAACAATGTTCAGACAAGTAGGAAATGCAATATTCTGCACAGGACACTTGCTCACAGTGCATGTTTATATTTTTTTGATCCATTTAAAGTAGATCACAAGTATCAGGATGGGAAGTTCAACCTGATACTTGGCATCTTTTTCTAACACAAGTGCACTCACAAGGGCAGGGCCACTTACAGCACAGCCAGGATCCATCAAAAGCAAGAGGGGCTTTAGAGAAAGGGTTCAGTGTCACCACAAGGTTCACATTGTCCTTCACTCCAGCAGTCACTGGGGCTCTCCATTTGCAGTTTCTCTGTCCTCTGTTTGGCCCCTGTGCTCTGGATGCATCTTCTGAGGGCCTGCACTTTCCAGCCAGAGCCCTCTTTTTGTGTTACACAGGCTAATTCATTTTAAGCTGCTTCCAAACTGGTCTCCTTTCCCACCCCTTGAAAGAAGCCTCTGTGTTCCAGATGACCTGGGCTCTATTTTTATCTGTGCTGTTCACATGTGTCATGAAACAGGGTCATGTCACTTTTCCCTCTTCATTGTGCCACTGTGATTTTGTAAGGGAAGGGTCACCTCTTCCTGTCCATCTGTTCAGCCCCTAACTGAGCCCTGATCCTCCAGTGCCATGGGCAGGGACCATCAGAGGTTCATCCATACATGCAGCATGCTGATGTCATCCTGCTGGATTAATCCCAGACTAAGTCACACCAGCTCTGAGTTTTCCCTACAGGATTCTGCCTTCCTAAAGGCTGGCCAAGTGTATCACAAACTAGACAGATCTTTGTCTGAACCCTTCAGACACCTGTTGAGTTCTACTGGATAAAAAAAGCTCATAGCAGTGATGACTCAAGTTTTAGCTTTTATATTTTTCCAGATTCTGTGCTGCTCTAGTGTGCAGTTCTGAGCTTCATATTAGGGGATGGTGAGCTCTCTTCACAGAATAGGGAGACAAAACAATGCCTTCTCCAGCTGGGGACCAAGAACAAATGATCCAAATCTCAGACCCAGGAGCACAAACAACGTGGGCTGGAGAGAGAAAAACAAGCAGGATGGGACTGCCTGGGCTAAAGCTGGAATGGGACAATGAACTCCAAGGTGCAAATGGAGCAGAACTGATCCCAGTGAGAGCCCCCGGGAGCGCTCGTGCATTTTGGGGCCATTTTGGTTCATCTTGGGTGCAGCCCTGGCTGGGCTCTTGTGCTGCCCAAGGTGGATCCATGGAGGAGATCCTTTTAATAAATTCCTGCTTTATTCTGTAACTCTGTCCAGCCTCTGTTCTAGATCAGCCTTCTCAAGGCATCAGCAGAAAAGAAAAATGTTTGTAAACAAGACACGCTTAACTATTTACAGTGGTGGTGGTGGGACATGAAATACAACCAGATGAAAATTTTCACTTTCTCTGTCTCATACATTAGAGGACATAAAGCATAATGTTAATTATGAATCCAGCTATTAGCAACCTGTATCACAAAACCCATTATGTGCAATTTAACACAGATAGCTTTTCTAATGCTCCTTCAGCCTGGGAGATAAATACCCTTTGTCAGGGCAAGGTTAATATAAATTGATTATGTGTGTTGCTAAAACTCTAACCTTTTGACTGATCCAATATGCATTGTCTCTAAAATGCAAAGATGATTCAAGTAAAAAAATGGGAGGTTTTGACATTTTCAACCACCAAAGTACTTGAAAATTGACACAAGGCCATTCTGTGCATGTGTAATTTATTTACTAACCCAAAATTAAATTCATCTTAATAAAAATTCTGCAAGAATATTACTTTTGCTATTTTTTTGTTATTGCTTTTGCTGGGATTGATTTTGTTAGTGTGATGATCATTTGTTTTCATTTATTATTTTTATTATGCTAGTACCTGGAATTGGATATGGGATCAGAGGCCCACTCTGAAAACCTTATCTACACTCTAAATAGCTGAGGCAAAAATGCAAGCAATGATGTATTTATCAAATGTCATATTGTTGCTGTAAGGCTTTGGTGCTCAATGTTCTGTGGTAAGGAATGTCAACTGTGGGCTGAGATCAGAGATATGTTGTGCAAAAAGGCAATGTTTTCTTGGGATCATAAAGGGCCAGTTATTTAAATCTATTTAGAGACCATAAAGTGCAAAGAAGTGTCTTTTAGGATTTGTTTATTTATTTACTTGTAAATAAATTATTTAGAGAGGAAAAGTGCTTCAGTATGAGACAATTTACCAGCAAATTATTAGAAGAGAGTGAGTGTAATGTGACCTGTAAGTTTACCCTGTAAGCATTCCTTCCCTTACCTGCAAAACCTCTTAGGAAGTCTTGGCTTTCTTCTGTTAAGTTCAGCTGGAAATATTTTCAGTAAATACAGTGTAAGAGTTCTGCTTATGAATATTCTTCTTTTGCAGGTTTCCCCACTCATGGCATTTACCTTTTACGGATCTTGAACATAAGAGAGTGAAGGATTTGAACCTCTATCTGAAGCAGCTATTAAGTGGCTCCAGGAAACTGGCTAATGTGAGCATTTCCAGTATTTCTTTTATTTGCACATCATTTCTAGTAGCATTTCACCAAAAGATTCAGGAAATTTTCCATTGCCTGTTATGGGGAAAAAAAAAAAACCGTAAGTGACACATCTTCTAACGATGCATTTTGGGATGGAACCATTGCAGCATTCATCAAAACTTAAGACAAAGACAAGTATGACTGAGAAATAGTTTATTAGACCTGGCAGGGCATTTTTCAGAAAAAACTCTTCTTCCTTTGCTGCCATTGAAAAGTAGTGATTCACTGAATTTTTGACAGTAAGGAGTAGGTTCTGAGGAATGTAACGTCTAAAAAAAGAAGTAAGCTTTGAAATATTGAAAAGTCTGATTTTGACAGTTGTTAAATGAAAAGTTCCATTCTTTCAGCCCAGAAATACTCTTTTCAAAATGTATTTAACAGGTAGAAGAGAGTTTTGCAAACATAAGACCTAACCCAGAACATTTCAATAACATCAGAATGATGCATTGTGTCCATTAAAATTGGTGCTTTCTCCTATTTTATTCATTATTGTTTTCTGAGGTTTGAGATTCTCCTCCTGCTTAAAAATGGAGATCCAGAATTGTAACAAACATTGACTTTCCATTGTCTAGGCCAGCACAAAGCCTTGTGCACCTCAGGGCCAAAGCACAAACTGGGGCTGCTTGGGTTTCATAGTAGGGACAGCTAAATGAGTGTATGACAGGATGTTTGATCTCCAAAATCTCAAACACCTTGCAGGGAAAAAAAAAAAAAGTTTGCTGCCTAACTATATAACTTTCCCAGCTGTAACTTTGTAATGGAGATTAAAGAGGAAATTGTCCATATGCAAAACAAACAGAAGTTTTCTTATTAATATGAATGTGGATTCTGAGCCCTGAGTTGAAATTGAGAAGATTTCCAAAGAGGATAAAAATCTTTTTGTCTCACTGAGTTACATGTAATTTGGTAAGAACAGCTGACTTGGGTGCTTGGCTGCTTTGACTGACACTGCCAAATAATCTGCTCAAGTTTGGGTAGATTGTTGTGCAAGTAAAACACAAAAATTTCACCTCAACATGAGGAAGGGCTTTTTTACACTGGGGGTGACAGAGCCCTGGAACAGCTGCCCAGAAGGTCATGGAAGACTCCCTGGAGACATTCCAAACCCACCTGGAGGTGTTGCACTGTCTCCTGTTCTGGGTGACCCTGCTGTGGCAGCAGGCTTGGACTGGACAATCTCCAGAGGTCCCTTCCAGCCCTGAGGATTCTGTGGTTCCTTTCTGACCCTCACATTAGGGCTGTGGGTTTATTTCACCTTCGGTCACAGCTGAGGAAGAGCTGATCTAAGCCCGTGACCTAGAAATGAAGAGCTCAGTATCTTCTGCTGTGCTCTGGACTGCTGCAAGGTACAGGAATTTTCAATTTGGGCCAAGCCCTGCAGTGCAGAATCGTAATTTACAGCTGAAAAATTAGGCTGCTGAAAGCCCTGGGATGGTCATAAAAACATTTCCCAGCGGTGCAGAGAAGCTCTGTTGCGCCTCCTGCTCCATGGGGTGGTGCTCAGCCAGAGCAGGCTGCCTGTCCTGCTCCTCAGAACACCCCAGGGTCCTTCCCAGCATCCTTCCTCCTCCCTTTATGGACCTGCAGCTCACAGCCCTGGAGCTGGGGACATCCTGCCAGCACTGGAACACAACCAGCACGGAGGTGTTTGGAGGTAACTCTGGGCAGATGTGCTCAGGGACAGCCACTGCTGTGGTTCTGAGCCACAAAATAAGATTGGTTTTAAGGAAAAGCTTTCTGGGAAGTCAGTGTCATTATCTGAAGTGTGTCATTGTGAAAAACTTGGCTGCATCATTTGTAAGTATATTTTTTAATTACTTAGATCCAGAACTTAAAACTTTTTCAGGAAAAGCTGTGCTGTAGCTCATTTGAGCACCTCACCCAGTGATGACATTAATTATCACAAGGTTCCCTGAGAAAAACATGCATCGCAAACAGAAAGCTGCTTAGTAATGCATTATATTAATCAAGAATAAGATTTATTTATATATCTATTCATGACTATCACCATATATTGATTCTGCTTTTAAAGTGAAATCTTTAGGAACTTAAGAATTTTCCAGGCTGGTACAGCCTGGAGGGCTGAACCACGAGGAGAAGAAAGCAATTTTGTTACCTGTGAGAGTCCTGCTGCTTTTTGATGTGTTGGACTTAGAGGGCAAGGGATAACAAGCAGAGGAATGAGCAGATTGTTTCCATCCTAAAATGCTGCTGAATGTAGGAAAGCATCTTGCTAACCTGCAATTCTGGATCTTAACCTTTAAAGTTATTGATACACCATAAACATTGAATCGTTATTTTTACCTCAGTATGCTTCTCCTGCTGGGAAGTGGGAGAAATTTAGAAAATACTGATGTGTTCTGACCCACTTAGAACAAGGAGAGCAGTTGGTGGGTAATTTCCTTTGTATTCCCTTCTCTTTTACTTTTCACTTTGGTATGATTCTTTTAAAAATATCATGGTGCTATCTTGGCTTTAGTCTGAGCTTAAAGCCAAGCTTGGAGGTTTTCTTGATAAAAATAAATTATTTCGTCCCTTTCTGTGCCTATGACAACTTTGCAGTCAAATTTGTCCTTTTTCTCAAAATGTTAAGGAGCCTGGCTGAAACTGTTTAGTGAGTTGTCAGTTCTCAAGCATTATCAAACTCATTCCTATGAAATAGTAAAACTGTAGGAATAAATAATTAACTCATAAATTTGTGAAGAAATCTAGGAAGATCAGTTGCCTGTAGAATGGGATTCCTTTTACTTTCTTGCTACAGTCATTTATTTATGCTGAATTGTAAATGTAATTTATTGTAGCTGTAGAGTAGGCTGGAGTACTGTCTGAGATAGGGAGAAGAGCTTTTATTTCATTATAAAATACCCTTGTAACACTTGTAATCTCTGTAAACACATTAGCCTAAATTACTAGGCACCATTTTCTGCTCTGAAGAATTTAGTCCAGTCCACACAGGTTCTACCAATCAAGTAATTATAAATCCTAGAAATGAAGAAAGAATCTAATTACATCCAAATTCCTTCCTCAGCCATGCCTTAAGTGCAAGCTTTTTAGTCCAGACTAAGTTCTGATTATGAAAATTTTATTATAATTGAGAGTAAGTCAGAATGTCACTGACCTTTTCTGCTAAATGGCTGGAATGAAGAAGGAGAGGTGGAAAACAGCTGCCTTCTTATTTGCACTGGAGCTCAAATGGAATTAAACATTTCTTCAAACCCTTCTTTAATGAACAGAAACTTTTTCCTCCTCTATCTCTGAATTTTAGTGCCAGATCCAGTGAATGCAGGAACATCACTTGATGGAAATATTTGCTCTTGGACCAGTTTAAATGCTTAAACGTGCTCATGTCCATCCCTATTCAAGGCATTTTTTTAAGTCTGTGGTTTACCTTAAGCATAAGACTCACTTAGTTGATTTTATTGAAGAATTGCCTAGAATAGGAGTCTTTTTCTAAATTCAGGCTAGCACTGCTATAAATAACTCCTTCACCAGACTGTGTTCATGAACAAACTGTTTTCATTACATCAATCACTAACATGCAGAAGTTGATGCATCTTCGTTGTCAGACTGAGTCAATTAGGACATGATGAAAAACGGGTTTCAACACCTTTTTATTTTTTTTTTTAATTTATTTCACTCTACTTGTGCCAGACCAGTGCCAGTATTTCTGATCACAGCAAAATAATATTTCGTTTTGGGCCAGCTGCACCACTGCTGACTGACTTATCATCTGCATACAATGAAATACTTGAGTTTTTTAGATCTGCAGGGCAAAATTCTCAACCATCTCCAGAATCTTGGAGTTTTGCTTCATTAAATGGTAAAACCACCAAGTGGTATCACCAATAAGAGGTGCCCAATAAGAAACTGCCCAAAAAGAAGTGAAGCACCAAGAAATATTGAACTGAGAGTTGCTGACATGGAAGAGGACAAAAATATGTGTTCTGAAAGCATAAAGCAAGTCTGTGACAAAAGACAGCTGCTGCCCATTGCTGTATTTTTCTCTGTTTCACTCAACTGCAGCTGAGTGATGGGTTGGATGGTGATTGCAGCCCAAATCTCATCACATAAAGTACAGCTGCCCTGGTGGCTCCTCATTTTATGGCTGTATCATAGGAAGGGTTGTGCACTGCCTGGGGACACAAAATCAAGGTGAGCTTGCATTAATTAAGTCTGGTTTTGGCCCCAGTGTCTAACACAGTAGTAAGTGCAGGTGTACAGTAGGTTAGTCAGTAAAAAAAAAAAAAATGTATTTTGGAGTTTGAGTCTATAAAGATTTTCTAAGCATCCAAATTAACTGAGGATTTTGGAGGTGAAGATAAACCTTGTGCAGGCAAGTAAGCAAACAGTGATGGTGTTTCAGCTGTGGCTAGGTTCTATAAACAGCTTTATAGTGACTTATAGGCTTAGTAAAAGGACTTTAAAGAGGATGTAAATGGAAATGATTGTAAATTATGTTCACTCATTTTCAAGTACATAGTAAAAACCTGGACCACAGCATTGTTCTAGGGTGACTAATGTTTTACACTGTAAAAGTAATCAATTTGATAAGAGCTTCCCATATTTCATTTCTGTTTTACTCACTGATGCTCCTTGAGATTTGCAGAGATGAAGGGAAAAGCTCCCACATGGCTGTATGAGGGTACATAAAGTGGGGGAACAAAGTGCTTTTTGGGTATGTGGGTCCCTTGAACTCCCACCACTCCTGTGTTCTTGTGGCAAGGCATCCAGCAGAGCCAAAATGGGGAGGATTCAAAGTCCTCTCTCTTGCCCTGTCCTTTCCTGAAGTTATAACAGCTGCACCAAGATCTGCTTTTTCTGGTTGCTTTCTTTCCCGCTGATTCACCATCCTGTGAAAGTATAATAGGAGCACGGGTGTTCTCTGACCCCAAATCTACTCTAGCACAGCTGAAAAGAAAGCTGGAAGCAGAGAGGAGGCTGTTTTTCTTTCTATTGAAATTAAATCTGGCTTGGAACCTGGCTGTGTTTCACAAACTGCACACTGCTTTTCTGGTTAGTCTCTGATGGAGAGCAGCAGACAAATTCTACCATGCTGCCTTCGTGCAGGGCTGTGCCAGCCCCCCAAGGCCACTGAAGTATTTTATTTCAGTTGTATCCTAGTGCAAGTAAAGGTGGAGTTTGTGCCTTTTGAGTTAAATGGCTGAAAAAAGGTCTGTGAGTTACAGACAGACAGACCAGTCTGCTCCCGTTTGGGGTAATGTGCTGAGTGACCTGCAAAAATATCAGAATCACTTCTTGGAGATTATTGTTTTATTAGGTAAGAATGGTTAGACAAATGGTAGGAGGACTTCCTAAGTGTGCAATATTTTAGGGAATCTTCATTTGCTGATTTAAAGGTAAGAATTCCAATGGGGGAAAGGGTGCTTTGGTCATCCTCAGTGCCCTCCTTTCTGCCAAGACCCCAAGGTCTCTGAGATTCCCACCTGCAGACATTTCTGTCAAACTGAGAAACTGCTGGGTTATAAATGGACTCTCTTCACCTTAAACAGCTCACACATATGTTCAATGCTCTGATAGATCTGTTCTTGTTTAGCAGTGTGCTTGGTTGCAGGTTTAATTCTGTGCTCCAGTCACATTAACTGGGGTTCAGCTGATGGAGGTTTCACTGATTCAGGAATCACCTGAAAGTTCTGTTTTAAGTTCTGCATGTTTCCACTCCTGAACTTAAACAAAATGTCCTTTTTTTTTTTCAACCTTCTCTCCTTTGGAATGAGATTTTGGAATTATTCCCTGAAACAATCTCTGCACCTCCTATTTACAAACCTCTTGGTTTGCATTACTTGCCTTGCATTTCCATTTATTGCAGAAAGAGTAGGTGGAGAGGAAGCAGAAAGAATGCCATGCTGCTCAGTGTGGAATTTCTTATTTCTCTTTCAAGTCAGTTTGTGTATCTTTATTTCCACCTCCTGCCTACTTCTCTCAAGATCTTTGAAGTCATAGGGCCACTTGAGTTTCTCTGCTTATTTTCATGCTGTCAAACAAAGGTTGGGCTGCCAAAAATATACTCTCAACCCTGGAGATTTCCTACACTTGGGACTTGTGCTGAAAGAGCGAGTGAAGGTCCCCTAGGGAATAACTCTGCTTTCTAAAGCTGCCTGAAGCTGTGGCAGGTGTATAGGCTTCCCCCTCTAAGCTGTCTTCATCAGATGAGAGAATAATTACTCGTGCTCAGTAGACAGGTGTATTGGCAGTCCACTGCTAATAACTTAAGGATCTGTCACTCAGTTCAAGGAAAACAATTATGTTGGTTTTTCTTTCTTTTTGTCTTTTTTTTTTTTCCCTTATTTTTTTTTTTTTAAAGAAAATATCAGTGTGGGAGGAAAAACTCCAAACAGTAGAGTGAAAAATAAAAGGCAACTGTGAAAATAAATCCAGATTTCTAAATCTTATCTCTCCATTGAACATACACATCTGTTCCTCTGTCTGCTGTAACCACATGTTAACTCCTCACTAGCTGCTTTTGTCACTATCCCGTTCCTTTGCTTTTTTCCTTGCACAAATTATGTTACATCTTGTCAAATTGAAATAACATAAATGCTACATGAAGTACTTCTTGCCGATAAGAGACACATTATTTTCCACTGACTGGAAAAAAACAATGGTGACATTTTAATGCTGGAATCTGAAAAGTCCCTTTTCCTACCCATTCATTACAGTGTCAGTCCATGTAACATCAGTATGAATGTAACAATTCTGACCCTCTTAAAGAATGGCCATTCTGAAATATGGCTTTATGGAAAGCTAATAAAATGCAATTACTGTCCAGCTTTGATTCAGAGTCATGAGTCCATTTAAGAATTCACGTTTTTATTACCTTGCAAAATACTGAAATCTGGGGATTTGGTTTATTGTTTTAATTCTCTCCAGCTGGATGTAACTACCTGTTATATATGTTCACTAGAGCAGCACAGGTCAGTGCGTAAAAGTAAAAGTTATAGCAGTACATAAGGTGGATTAGTCTTTTAAACAGGATGGTGAAATATGATCACGCTTTTTGCTCCCTGTGGGTTTCTGGTAGGATTTAACTGTGTATGGAGCTTTTCAGCCTGAGTGTCCATTAAGCTGCTCTGGGAGGGAGGTTTGCACAATATCTGAGCCTCAGGGAGGCACACACGAGGTCAGGTACTTGGGGTCAGTCCCGTGCCAAGGGCGAGTTTCCTGCTGACTACACAGCTCAGAGCAGAGATGGTCTCCTGCCTTTGTTTCACAGATGGGCTACTCTGTCCCTTGCATCTGTATTAGCACTTGCAGCTGCTAAAATACAAATCTGGAGCTCCTGGAGATGGAGCACGAGCACGAATCTGTGGCCCCTGCAGCTCGCTGCTGTCTGAAATGTGTTGACAGAAAGGGGCCAGGTAGGCACCAGTGCAGCATCCCTGAGAGTGCTAAAGGACACCATCATCATCCTCCCAGTGCTTGGGCAGAAGTCACTCCCTGGGCTCCTAGCTCATGATGGAAAGGGAAAAGCTCCCTTTTATTGCTAACTCTGATATGTGCATTAAAAATTACCAACAAACTTCTTGGGGGGGTGGGGGGATGATACAAGAAACAGGGTGCAACGTATGATATTACCTACAGTGTTTGTATTCTCTTTCAGAATGAGCTTGTACTCAGCTTCTTCCTCAACTGGTCCAAAAATACCTTGGCAGAACATTCATCATCTCTGACCTTAGGTATGTGCATTACCAATCTTATTTCTTTTCTAAGAAATGATAATCCTTGATAGTTTTATGCAAAGGTAAGTCTGAAGTTTTTAGATGGTTTGGGGTTTTTTAGGATATAAGGATACCAACAAATAATTCCTGATTTTTCAAGTTTTTGAAAATGTGTTGTTGATGTCACCTGTAGATTTCTTTCTTCTTCTAATATTCCTTTCAGCCTTGCTTCATTTCTTTTTGAATAAACATGCTTATATGCAAAGCTAAAGTTCATTTACACAAACTGTGGCAAGTTTCTTGCTTTACAAAACAGAATATTCTAAGATTTTGGAGGAAAGGATGTGAGTCATGACAAAGCACAATGTGTGCTTGCACAAGGGAAGAAAATCAGGGGTGACTTCTAAAGTAATTTTCGCAATGAGTGGAGCAAGTAAATAACAGAACATTATGTTAATGCTTAGGCATACATTATTAATGACTGTGGTAATTCACTTCTGGCTAAATGAGATGCTGCACTGCTCCCTTAGCCTATCTAAATACTTAACCCATTTTCCTCTTCTGTCCAGCACCTAATTTAATCTAATTTCTGACATTACAGCATTAAGAGCCAAAGCATAAGCCATAAAAAGTAAACTCTGAATGTTTATTGTCTTCCACTGCCTTAGTTCTGCACTGATAATAATCTTTTGTACTCAGTTTTTGGGCAAAATAAAACCTCATAAAGGAGTCTGCAGCTGCACTCTGCACCACAACAATTCAGCTGGTTGTTATGTGCTCCAAGTGATAGGACTGTTTCCAAGATCATCAGTTTTCCACATTTCAGAAAGGATTGTATCTCTGCATATTTAGTTTGCATGTCCATTAAGTTAATTTAATCCCTCTGCAGACAGAAGTTTCATTATCTCTTGCTGGGACCATTTTTTTTTTTTATCCATCAGAACAAAATAAATCCCATTCTGGCTTCTCAGTCTTTGGAAGATTCCCCCTGTGTGGAGTTTATTTGATTAGGGCATGCCATTATCATATTAAACCCATTATGACTATTGAAAATTACTAATGGTTACTCTAACTTTTACAAAGGATCAAGGAGATAATGCTAAGATGTCCTAGGTGCTAGGAACATGTAATCTGGGTCCATGGGCTCCATCCCTCTGTAAGTATCTTTAAGCAAAGATACAGATGTCAGAATGAGCTGAGACACAAGGCAGTTAAAGCCTCAGAATAATTTTGATATGCCACTAATATTCAGCTGCCAAATTATTACAGAGAATATGGGTGTAAAAGTTTTATGCAAAATCACGCACTGAATCGATAAGAAAATTGGGAAATAACTTGCAACATTCCTATAGCAGTGTCCTGAGACAGTGCAGTCTGAAGGATGAGCCACCTATTTTTGTTGTCAGTGGCAGCAAAGTCAAGGAAAAGAATGAAGAAACCGAGGCAAGAATGTGTTTAGTGGGTGTTTGATGAAAGCTGTGTGTCAGGTTACCCAGTCTGTTCCTCACTTTGTAGTTACTGGTGGTGAGGGTCACAACAGGGCTGAAGAAGATGAGTGTGCCTCTGGCCTCCAGCAGTGAGGTTACAGAGGAATTGGATTTTTTTTCCTATTCAAGAACTCTGCCTTTTGAAGTTTGGATGCTTCACTTCTAGGCTTAGGGCAAAACCTTTGTTTAACATGGGGGAAAGCAACAAACAAAACCCAAACCACAAAAGCAACTCTCTTTAGCCTAGAAAATTGATCACTATCATTTGCTGACAAATCAGCAGCAGCACGTGAGGTCCAAACAATGAGTTTAGACTTGGTAAAAACAGGGAACAAGAATCATGGGCTGGGTTGCTCTGGGTGCTGCACCATTTGTGGTGAGCTGTGGAACCTGCCATGCATGTGCTGATTACCCACCTGATAAATCTATTGAAACAGATCTATTTCTATTTTTTTTTTTTTTTTCTATTCTTCACCTCATCTTCGGAGCCAGGCTGCTGCCATGGCCCAGTGAGCTCACAGAAATCTTTGTTCCATGGCATTCTGCACACTGGTGGCATCCAGAGGACATCTAGCTAAGGCAGGAGGAGGTGTCTGGTCATGCCAAGGTACCAAGTAGCAAAGAAGGAGCTGCTGGGAGGAGCAAAGTGGCCCCAAAGATTCTTGATGGCTGAGGGTGCCCAGAAACACTCTTGATTTGGAGGTGAACTCTGGAGTAATGCCATAGTCAGTCTGGGGAGGAATTAAATTCACTCAGCCTACAGGAAAGAGGTGGTTGCCATGAAGAAAAGGTAGATATTTTTTTCCCCCACAAATTTCATTGCTTTCTGAGGTTATAGGGGTCTTAATATTTGCCTCTTTTGAAAAATAACTCAAGTTTAATATGGGCTGTAGCTTTCCATGGGTCTGGTAGCTTCTCTTTCAAGCAAAAGAAATCATCTCTCTCTTGGTTAGGATCAATATGAAATAAGATTAATGCCCAATAGGATCAAGTTATGAATTTTGATCATACCAGCATCTTTCTCTTACACTGCTATAATTTATAAATGTTGTAGGTAATTGCACTTACTAAAGTAAAATAAAAATTAAAATTTATGAATTTGTACTCTGCTCCCAGCAATAGAGAGATTAGAAATCAGTGTTAAATTTACTTGACATGAATACTGAATCAGTATTCCCAGTGGAGTGAATTCTGAATTATCCTGAACATTGTCAGCATTTCATTATACCAAGCTCACTACAAGGCAGTAAGAGCAGATATCAGGAATGATTTCACAAGCAGACTTTTATAAAAGCCCTTTAAAAAAAAGGAAGAAAGAAGAGTCTATCAAACACGTTTTAATATCAAATTTGTTTCTTTTTCTTCTCTTGAGTTTGTATCTCCTGAAAATATTAATCATTCAGATAGTTTTGGTTCTGCTGTGGGCTATAACACTGTACAGCCCAGCTCCAGTTCTGGCATGTTTAATTAGTGCTCCATGTGTTTGTGTGAGCCTCTGGCCTTGAGGTGCAGTAGGGCAACAGATTCTGTGTCCTTGTAAAGGGAGATCCAGGCTTTCCAGGAAGATTGTAATATGGCATTCCCCTCCATGTAGAACCACAGTCCCCATGGATAGTCCCTGAGGAGAAAAAGGCCCTCTTGCTCATGTGCCACAATGTTTTGATCTTCTGAAGCTGCTCACTCTTGATGTAAAGCTTTTGCCACAAGTTGTCTTCCTAGTTTAGTCCCATTCACCCATGAGCACCTCTGGCTGGCTTGGAGGGCTGAGCCCTGAGACATTTGGGGTTTTTAGAGCTGACTGTGTGAAGTCAGAGACTTGGGAGGCTGTAACTAAAGCAGGCAGATGGTTGGCTTGGGGCAGTCAACCCCAGCCCTGGAAAACCAAACAAGTTCCAGTTCTCTTTGATGCCAGATGTCAAAACAGGCTGTCACAAAGAAGAAAGGTCTAAGAAAAATCTGAGGGTGCAGAAAACATAATAATACTGAGCTCCCCAATGGCAGTGCATTGACACTTATTTAATTAGTTTCTTCACATTGCTTTGCAGTCCACACATGAAATGCAGTGTATTATTAAGTTACAGTTTCCCTCTTGATTTTGTCAGTAGCATCATCCTTGCTGTTTCTGTTCCTCAAACATTGTGCACAGTGTAATGCAGAGCTTGTTTTAAACTGCTGCTAAGGAAAACACTGCACAAATGGTGGGATACAGAGCTGGTAGTTCTCCAGCATTCCAGAAAAGACCATCTAGATAAAATAAGGAGTTGCATGCTGGAGTACTGGGAAAATCATTTCACCTCCACTAGAAATCTGAATGCTAATTGTCTTCATTTCTTCATTTGAAAAGACAAAAGGACCCACAGTTTTCTCATGTTTATGTTCCTCAATAAGAGATTATAAACTGGCAGTGTTTGAGATTTTCTGTACTAGGGATGGTGGCTGACTTCCACTGGGAACACTGGGCTACACAGGCACAAATTAGGAAGGAGAAAACTCCAAGTGCTCTGGGGTCCCCATTTGGTATTTGACTGCTTTTGCATGGACACCAGAGAGTGAAGAGTCGATCCCTGGGGGGACCTTTTGCTTCAGCTGCAGTCAGTGTAACTTAGTCCTGTACCTGCAGCACTTGGTCCTGGTCTAAAATTGGCTGTAAGCAGAGCAAGACACTTCCCAAAAAATGCAGGGTTGAGCTCAAGTCCATCTGCCCAAGCTGGCTAGATTGGAAGTAATTATTGTAACAGTGTATTCTATTACCATTTGAAGCTAAAATCACCTGGACTTCAAAGAGGATGTGATCTAGCACTGAGTGTGGGACCAAAAATATACCAGCTGAGTGTAGCTAACAGTAATCTGGGTTTTACTCTGAAATATAAGCAACAGTGGTCTCTTCAATGTTTATCAGATTTCCCACACTGTTATTTGCATTTCCCTTCCTTTTATTTTTTTCCATTAGAACTCAATTTATCACATAGTAAGAGTAAATATTTTAGTAATAGTTGTGCCCATAGTGTATGTTTCTCAGACTTCCTTTTACATATTCAATTAGAAATGCATTTTCCCTCCCCTTTTGGTTTATTCTGGGGATTTCTGGGGTTTTTTTGGGTGTTTTGGGGTTTTTTTGGGTTTTTTTGTTTTGTTTTTTGTTTTGTTTAGTTTTTTTTTGTTTTTTTTTTTTTGTTTTGTTTTTTGGGTTGTTTTTTGGTTGGTTGGTTTGGGTTGTGTTTTTTTGCTAGAAAGTCATTTACCTTTCTTACTTTCAAGGAAAAAATAAAATTCAACTCCCACAGAGAAATTCCTTCATTGCATACGTACCACACTGTAAAAATGAATGAAAAACAAAGACATTGGTAGTGCTGGTAGGAAAGGGAAGGCACAGCGATCAGCTGGATTCTGATGATGTAATTTAGCCTTTGAAATCTGTTGCTCTTGCTAAACCACTCGTAGTGACTCACTGCAAATCCCAAAATTAACAGAGCCCCACAAGTTACTCGTGCCCTTATTTTAAACACAGCTGCTCTTGTGTTTCACTGTGTGTAATAGTCTAGAATTCTATGTCTCCTCTTGCAAATTCAAGGCAAAAGGACTCACTGCTTAAGGAAAAAAAAATGGTGAAGTGGCTTTGCATGAAAAAAAAGAAAAGAGGAATTGAATTTTATGGGCTTCTTCTTAACCTGGAAAAGACTCAGCATTGTCTGGTTCATGGGGTTTTCATCCCTTGTCCCTCCCTGTTCCTATTTTCATAACACAAGAAATGAAATAAGGCACAGTCTTGCCAAGTGATTTGTCAAGGTTCATAAGGGAGAATAACAAATGAAGAACTGCTACTCAGTCTTCTAAGTCTCAGCTTAGTGATTTCTTCCTGAGATTTCAATTTTTCAGGAGTATTTCAGGCCCTTCTCTAGTTAGGATATGATTAAAAATGTATTTTTGTAGTCTCTAAAGGGGAAAAAATGGAGAAAGATTCATATTCTGAAATGCCACCCCAAGCATCATAAACTCAGTAGCGTTGGTTAAATTATATTATGGCAGTTGCATGTACACACTGTGTTATTTCTAATTCATTTGAGTTCCCTTCCTTGGGATAAATGGCAATTACAGTGCCTCTCTGGCTGTCAGCAGTACATGACTCCACTGTCATTGTGTCTGCTGAGCAGTTATTTTAGGCTCTGCTTACTCCAGAGCTTACACATTTGGTTTCTTCAGAAAAGTACACGCAACGTGGCTTGTCCATTACAGCACCCCCTGAAAACAGGAGAGGCTGAGCCAGTTGGACTCCTGGCTCCCATCACCCTGACTGTGAGAGTTTTGGGGCACCTGTGGGGAGGAGAGGGCAGGAGTGAGACGGGGGTGCCCCTGATGCCTTGTGAAGGCTGCCCTAGAGCAGAGGCTGGGCAGAGTTACAGAATAAAGCAGGGATTTATCAAAAGGCTTCAATGGGCAGCACAAGAGCCCAGCCAAGATGAACCAAAATGGTCCCAAAATGCACGAGCGCTCATGGGGGCTCTCACTGGGATCAGTTCTGCTCCATTTGCACCTTGGAGTTCATTGTCCCATTCCAGCTTTAGCCCAGGCAGTCCCATCCTGCTTGTTTTTCTCTCTCCAGCCCACGTTGTTTGTGCTCCTGGGCTGAGATTTGGATCATTTGTCCTTGGTCCCCAGCTAGAGAAGGAATTGTTTTGTCTCCCTGCTCTGTGCAGAGAGCTCACCATCCCCTAATGTGAAGCTCAGAACTGCACACTAAAGCAGCACAGAATCTGAAAAATATAAAAGCTAAAATCTGAGGCATCACCCAGCTCTTTGCTGAGGCTGAAAGGGATGCAAAGGAACCCTCCTGCTACCCAGGGGATCAGTCCTGGTACTGCCTAAAAGCCTCCTGTGGCAGTGTTGACTGGTGAGCGATGGCTGTTCTTACATTCCCGTCATCCTTTCCCACTGGCTCTGCTCCTCACGAGATGTGTTTCTATTTAGAGAATTAATTACCACTGTATTGTCTTGTTTTGTGTAGTTATGTCACCCTGCAGTGGCTTCAGGGCTGGAGTGTCAGTGGCAGATCCCAAGGTGCAGGAAGGAGAGCAGGATTTCTCTGTTTGAGGTCTCCAGCTCAGCTGCTGCTCTAAAGGGGAGGTGGGAGAGCAGAGCCCAGCTCATGAGACATCCTCATTGTGTTGTAAGCTTAGCAGGATTGAGTTCTTACTTTTTCAGGTAAATTAGTGGTTGTAATACAGCTTTGGTTTAATTAAATGTAGCCCTATTTGCCTGAGTAAAACCAGACAACTTCACACAGGCAGTGTCTGGGCTGTCCTGGGTGACCAGGTGGTGCAAAATGGCTCAAGCCCAGCTCCTCAGCCCCTGCTCAGGTAAAACACGGCAAAAATTAGGAGTTCAGACAAATATTGAGGAGAGGTTGTGTTCACCATTACCTGATTTGCAGTGGTAAAAGGCATCTTTGCTCTGCTGTGCTTCCCTGCTTGCCTCTGCAGGGCAGGTAAACCACATTACTTGCCCAGCTTCAAGGACACACCTTTTTGGCAGTGAAGACAGCTGGCTCAGTGCCTGCAGCAGAAAGCTGGAACAGGATTTGCTTAGTCATTTCTTCCATATTATGAGTCTGATTCTTCTTGCTTGGAAAATGAAAAGTGGCTTTTTTTTTTTTTTTTTTTCCAGCGGAAATTATATCAAACTCCTAAAGTGCATCTTAGTAGAAAAATCTATGAAAGCCATGTGTTGCATGAAACCAGCCTGGAACACATAAAGTACAGAATGAGGAAGGGAGAATTTATATATAATGTTGCTTCTCTAACTTGCTTTGGAACTGATCAAGACACTTGCTCTTTTTTCCCTTATTTCTTTTTTTTTTTTAATTTTCTCTTGGGATCTGGGAAAGAAACTACAGTGTCTTTAACTAGACAGATCTGCAACAATAGTGAGTAGTGTCATCAGTGACTGCCAAAAAAACCTACCCCAATTATTTGTCACTCAAGCATCAATTTTCCACTGAATTTCAGATGGATGGCAATTAGTAAACAGAAAATCTCACTGGCAGTTAACAAACAGGAAAGAAAATGAGCACTGCATGTCAGACCACTTTCTTCCACCACACTCCTTATCCATGTTTTCTAATTTTACCCCTGATTTGAGCACGCAGCAAGTTTTTATTTGTTAGCTAATGTGTACTTCAATATTTTACAGATACTGTCTTTATAGAATCAGCTGTTCTTCCTCTAAGCTTTTAACTAAAATAATCAAGCTGTCTGGCCTTTTTTAGGTCCTCAGTCAGCTGGTCACAAGCCTGGAGTACAACTGGTCATATCCTACGAGAACACCCGCCTGACAATAATGCTGAAACACATGAGGAACCTCGTGAGTATTTTTATCAGAATGTGTCCCTCCTAAGTCCTCACATTTGCAGAGCACTGTGAAAACATTAATCTTCAAACAGCCTTTCTGGGATAACTAATTTCAGCTCAAAGTAATGATAGTGCTGCTCTGTCATGATTTCACAATTGGTTTTTCCCTTTGAGCTCACTCAATATGGTTCCAGGTGTGAGGCAGATAGAGGAACTGGGTTTCCTTAATGGCTGGTAATGGCCTCTTCCAAGAAAACCAATTTTGATTCTGTTTTGGCCCTCTCAGCTGACACATTTTGATAACAGTCAGACAGAAGGCATGGTGCAGCAGCATGACTTTTTGCAGCATGTCAGCCTGGCACTGTGGATTGATTATCCAGACATTTCTTTCCAGTCCAGCCCAGCTGTCTATGGGGAGGGAGGAGCTCAGCAGAGGGAGCAGCGCTGTGTTTTAAGGAGCAGTGGCATTTGGAGGCGTGATGCTCAGCTTTGTAACACTGTCAGGAGGCTGGGAGGTAAATGTTGAGAGCTCTTGGAGCCAGGCTATGACAGGGGAAGCTGGCAGTGCTCCTGCAGCACGAGGCAGGTGGAATTGGTTGCTGAGAATTGGTGGTTTCAGAGATGGAGCTGGGGCTGTGTGTGAAGTGGGATCTCTCACTGGAGGAGCATATGGGCTGCTCCATAATGAATTCCCTGCCTAGATGTGCCCTTGAATTCCCATGGCTCACGTCTCAAGCAATGGCTGTGGCAAGAGAGCCTTTATTTGTCTAGCTAGGGGATTAGAGCATCTATTAGCTATTGTGGGTTCTCAGTGCACACTCTGTGCCACCTCCACCCCAAACTGGATTGCAATCCCTTTTCCTTAATGGGGCCCAATTGAGGGGCTTGTGTGAGCACCAGCCAGTAGCAAAATGAGGCTGATGGTTTAATTAGTGGTATGAGGCACATGAGGCTTACACAGCTCTGACTGTTCTCTGCTGGCCACTCTGGCTTCTCATTTGCAATTCAAGGGTCTCCATTCTGGTCTATAACATTCAATACATCTCTGTCCTGAGACTTGTTTTCTATGTCCTGTGTGCCACTTTGACAGGTGAGATCAGCCTCTGCTGACAGGTCCAATTTATACAAACTTTACCTTCAGGATGTAGCAGAAGACCCTCTTTATTTTTTCTGTTGAGCTTTTTTTAATCTAAATGACTTCTGATAAAGTTCTAATTGGTAGGAGGGGTATATTTAAGTGATTGCCATGCTGATGATATCCTTGAGACTTCTAGCAGGTGATGTGGAAATGCACACAAACGATTTGCAGGTGTTGGAATTAATCTTCCTTTCTCCTTGTTTCCATCATTGTAAGTGTGTAGGCTCCTAACTGTGTTCTGAGGAAGTTCCAGCCATTTAATTAAATGATAGTAAATTACAGCATAGATAGCTCTGCAGTGCAAACATAAAACCCAGGGCTCAGTTCACTTCATTATGGAAAGGGACAGTACAACTTGACGTTACAGTGTTGCTTTTGAAATAGGTAATTTAAATCAGGTAATTTGAATCAAATCCATTTTATTGGGTTTGGAGAGAAGTGGTAGGAGCCTGTTCAGCAAGGCTAACAATGATTCACGACTCTAAAATAAGGTCATTGTTGTGGCAGCCTAACTTAGGCAATCATGGTTTGAAATCCTGGGCTTCCAATTCCTTCCTTCCACCTGGCCATCCATCCCTCGTCATCTGATCTGAAATATGAAACAGTGCTTCAGGGTACTGTGATCCTGGACTGCCTTCAGACCAGTAACCTATAATAGGAAGGTTCTTTATCCCATTATTGATCTTCTCAGCTTCCCAGCCATATAAATCAATCTTTCTAATGTGCTCTCTTTTCTTTTTCTTTCCTTTCCTCTTCTTCTTTTTTTTTTTTTTTTTTTTGGTTGAGCTGAACAGGGATTTTAAAAGTATGCCAAGATCATATATTATTCAAGACATGTTAAAGCTATTTCAGGTATAGTCAGTCTTTTGCAGAGTCTCACTAATTATATTTTAGTGGTTCATCTGTGCACAGATTACTTTGCTATCTTGTTTTATTTCATAATTTATAGTAAATAATTTTTGTTCTGCTCTTCCCTATTTAATTTATCTCTATAAAGAGATTTTATGATGTGTTCAGTTGCAAAAATAATTGTAGTGGGCCAAATTAATCCCAAATGGAGCTTCACAGATGACAGGAATTGTGATCGAGACTTTTGATCCCTGTAAATAAATTTGATTTAGTTTTTGTGCGAGTTTACTTCTAAGAGTTTTAATAGGAGACCTAGATCCTGCTGTGCAAATCCTATATTGATATACAATGCACAAGAGACTCCCTAAGGAGCTGCTGTTTTTTATAGCCACTCTCAGGTGTCACACAGGTTCTTTAAACCAGGAAGCCAGAAGACTGCAGTGCTATAACTTAGCAGGAATTTCTCCTGAAGGAAATTTGCCCTTTCACATGGCGTGTCTTAGAGAAAAAATGCAGCAAGAGTGGAGAGAGCCCTGTTGTGGTGCAGACCTGGTCAATGTGGGTGCATGCATGGGCCCCTGGCATCTGATGCATCCACACATGCCAGATTTGCTGCAGATGCACAACTCTCCTCCCTGGATCAGCTTCAGAGTGTCCTCTCCCTCCCCGCTGCAACATTTCAGTCATGTGTAAAAAAAGCCAGCCCTGCTTGAAGAAAACTCTATTCAAAATTTCTGCAGAGACAAACAGCAGAGAGCAGCCTTATGGATTTTGTGTCTGGAAAGGATCATTAATCTAATCTAACCTTCTGCAAAGAAAGAGCTGTGTTTTTTCACTAAGGAAAAACTTGCAGCCAAGGAAACTGTTTGAACACAGAGATGTTAAGACTGGCTGGTAATGTTTGCCTACAGTTTAAGGCTGTGGGTGCACAATGAAGACAAGTTCTGTTAAACAGATATTCATAAGATACTAAAAATGTTTCAGTCTCAATATTTGCCTCAGCAATTCAGTTTCACTTGAATCCTGAGATTCTGTAAGTCAGGTGGCTCACTGCTTCTACTTAGGATTTGAATGGCATCACCATGATTGCTGAAGAAAATAACTTTAAATTCAATTTTTAAATATACAGCAGCCATGATGCCAACAAAATGCAATTTTCCAAATACGTATATTACATAACTTGAAGTCAGGTTATTGGAGCATTGCTGCTCTCGAGTGCAGATGGTGCCACACTGGGCACTTTCTGGACTACAGGCAATATTGCCTTAATAAAGTGAGGCTGGGCTAGAAGGAAACATTTTGTAGGGGTGAAAACCCTGGAAGCCGGGAGGGTTTGCCTCTGGAGTGTTGGAGGATGTGGCAGGTGGAGGGGTGAGACAGGGCAGGCTTATTCTATAAAGACAATAGCACAGTACCTGGCAAAGTGCATTAAGTGGTCTCAGGAGGGATATAAAGGAGCCCCAGGGGAGGTTTGCTTTGGCCTCTGAAAGGATTTGTTACCTTAGAACGAGAATAGTGCAATTGTGGCAGCACAATACCCAGACAAACAGCAGCAGGCACAAACAGGAGCACAGGGCAATGCTTCTCTACCTTAAAAATGTAGGCTTGTGCAGATGTGGGGATGGATTTCTTGAAATGCAGGTCGATTTTGAACTTGTAATATTCCAGTGCCGTCCTGTTTTACCTTCATTTACCAACACAGAGAATGGGAGATACCCAGAGCCCCCCAGGTCTCACACAGGGCTGACTTTATCTGGTTTAGCTCCACACAGCCAGAAACAGCCAGGCTACCTACTGGTGGGCTCGCTCACTCAAAAAAAAAAAAACCCAGAGGCAATAGGAATAGCCACTGCTGACACCCAGAAAAGGGTTTCTAACATATTTCTTTGCTGGCTTCACGGGGAAGCAAAGGGAGCAGTGGTTCAGCACTGGCTCAGGAGGAAGCCTGCTTTTGCCACTGATTTTATTGCCATGACTTCAGGCAGGCCCTGTTTTCCTAGATAAGAGGCTAAACTTTCAATCCTCACTGCTAAACATTTTTTGCCCATTACTTCTCGTGGACAGAGTAACTACTCAGGGGTAGAGGGGAGGAGAAACAAAGCCAAGTTATCCTGAACTTCACGCCAGCAAATGTAAAATGTTACTAGAATTCAGGAAAGCATGCGTGGGCGATGAATTCAGAACCAATTTTACAGGGGGAAAATTTTCTGGAAGAAAAATAAACTCCTACAGTTCTTTGCAAAAGTACTTCCAGCTTTCCTTTTATAAAAGCTCTGAAGCTGTCATGTACCACTCCTGGTGATTAATGATTCTGGGATAGCTGATATGTGGGTGACGAATTAGTAATCAGCTTTAGGCCTTACACAGGCATCCAGCCTCTTTCCATTTCGTGTCCAAATTGCTTCCAAAAATGTTTGTGAGATGCAATGGTTTAAATGTTTTGGGTGAAAAGATGGGAGCCACTTTTTTGAGTTCTGGATGCTGAGAATTTTAGACTGTCTGTGGTGACAGACTCTGACTCCCAGGAGAGCACTGCATTGGATCTGAGGCCATGGAGAAGGCTCCCAAAATTGATTGCTAGCACTGGGACTGGGGGTGTGTAGTTGGTTAGAAGTGTGTAATATCACAGGGTGGAAAACTTAGATTTTGGGGTTTTAGAATATAGTAATATAGATGAAGCAAGATGGAGGTTTTAGGGCAGGCTGGTCCTTCTTCTTCACTTTCTTCTTCACCTTCTTCCCCATGGGTTTGGGTGGTTTTGTGTAATCAGACAGAAAAGTTCACAATGTGAGCTTTGAGTGATCAGTTATTGGGTTAAAAGTGAAAATAATTTAGGTGCCTTTTCTTAATTGGATAGTTTAGCCTTAAAAGACCTTGTGACAAGAGATAGTTGGCCATTTTGTACCTTAATGAAAGACAGCAGAACTCAAAGCTGTGAGGCTGTAATATTGATAAGAAACAATAAACACCTGAGTCTGAACATGAACCTCAATCCCAACCTCAACAGAGGCAGAAAAAGAAGCTGA